CAAATAAAGTAGACAAATGATTCCATTGTAAAATCTGTTAATGATATTTACACAATTTCAAACCATTTAGTGATTTACAAAATTTCTTCATATGATATATAGTTCTGAAACTAACTGAACAAATCAAACCAAGCATAAATGGAGAAGAAATGCGAGCATATCGATACGATTTGGAGAATAAATGCAAGCTTAAATGCGTAAAAAATTACCCAAAAAAATAGAAATTCAAGAGCCTTCGTCGGGATCGTCCGAGCTCGATGGGTCGGGTAGGAGGCCAAACGTAACTTCTTCCCCGACGTGGTGTTCGCCGGCGACTGGGAGGTCGGGCGAGGGAGAAGAAGTGAAGAACTGTCGCGTTCGCGTATCTGGAGTCGGGAGTGACGACGTTTCTCGTATGCTAGGGCAGACGAGCGAGGCTAATAGCAAATACCGATACTTAGTTTATTTAAGCCGTTGGATCGCAGATCAACGGCTCAAATTAGAGCATTTACGGACCGGCCGGTTCTTCAACGTCCTGCCGGTTCAGCGGTTACCCGGTTCAACCGGGTTTTCAACCGATTTTTACCCGGTTATTAAACCACCTGGTTCCTTACTCTTCCCGGACCGCCCGCCGGACCGGTTCGCGGTTGAACCGGTCGAACCGGCCGGTCCGGTCCGGTTATGAAAACCTTGGTCTTCACCCAATTTTGTATTATTAAATTTAATTTTTTGACTTTTAATAATCTCTATGATTTAATTTCCTTTTAGATTATTTATGCACCTTTCCTCCCAAAGTTATTATAAAACCATTAATTCAATGATACCAACTATTTTGTATGATTGAGGGTGTGAATGATTGGAAACTTTCACCTTGTCCAATCACATAGCAAATAGTACAACTAATCAACATTTCTTCTCAAGAAGTGATTCTCCAAAGGAGTTCTAATTTCATACAATTTCTTTTTGTCTTAATCATTGAGTGAAAAGTACCACGTTCTCTCTCTCTCTCTAAAATTTATCTGGAGATTTGTTCTCTTACTAAAATGATTATCTTTTTCAAGAGTTCTTTGCACCTTGATATTATTTTGAAGATGCTTATTTTTCTTAAGCTTGAATAATTTATTATTTGCTCCATAAAAACTTTTGATACAAAAAAGATGAAAATTAGAAATAAATTTTCCTACATTGTAACTACTTATGAAATGATGCATTATTTTTATAAAATCATGTAAATACATTTAGGATAAAATAAAGTTATCTATACATTTTAATTAAAAAAAGTAATTAAAAAGAAAATCAATATGATTTATAGTTTTATTTATACCATGAATTAAATTGTATAGATGCTTTCAAAATTATTATTTAAATGCTTTCAAAGTTATCTATAGATTCTACATTGCTAAACCATCAAGCTAATTTTTAATATGAGTTCAAATCCACATGACACTCCTAACAACTATTTTAAGATCATTATCATTAAATCAAATAGATGGTGACATTTGAACTATGCTTGTTAGAGAATCTTTAGAGAGAGAGAGAGAGAGTTATCACACATACTTGTTTTGTTATTCCTACTAGAAATAAGATGTTTCCATGCTTATAATTATTAGGTTATGAGTTATCTTACTCACAATTATCATAGTCTCCCATGAATAGACCTCCCACATGATACATCTCCCCCGCCTTGTCTTATCAGTAGGAATTAATATATGGTGGATGGACCTCTACACACTCATGCTCTTTTAAAGCACTTAGTTATAGTTTTCCACTCAAACTTTGCCACCTCAGTTTCTTCATTCAAGAGATGCCACCTCTAAAGAGCAGTGCACAATTCTCTTATTGTTTGTTGAATTTAAAAGGCCCCAAACTTCAAAGTTCCCTTATAGGAATCAAAGATGGTGACTTGTGGGCTTCATTAAACAGCCAAAGAATAATCTTTTCTATATTAAAGAGATGTGGAGCTATATAGTCTATGATTCTCTTTTGAAATTCATGTCATCATTAATATATTGATGGAGTTTTGAGCAAATATGCCACTTGCAGAAGCAATTTTTCAGAAACCATAGTGAGCAGATATAAAATTTATATAAATATTGCTCGGTTCTAATATACAAATAGAGAGTTAATTGCAGGTTGAGTACTATAAGAGCTTCCTTATTATAGTTTAATTTATTCTATCTGAGCCCCTCAATTATCTACAGGCTTTTGCATGGGAAGAAAATTTTGAATTTATTTTATTTTATTTTTGGCACAAAGACAAAATAGATTATTAAAATTAACAAATAAATAATATTTGCAAATAAATAAAGCTTAAAAATTTATTTTAATACATTTATCAATTTTTTTATAATTTAAGAAATAGTTTCAAATTTTGATTCTACATAACTTGCTTCTCATATTTGATAACTTAGAAATAAAATAAAAAATAAATTTATTTAAAAAACTCAAATTTTGTGGCTGATTTTTTTTTTAATTGTTCTCATGTTGCACTGAGCATATAAACAATATAAATTATCAACAATAGATAATAAAAAAGCCATAAAATAATTCTAAAATAGTTTATAAAATAAATGTTTGTTTTGTACAAAAAAAAAAAAAAGTTTTAGCACTTTTGATTGCTATATTGCAAAACAAGAAAAAAATGTCTTGAAAATTTTAAACAGCTTTCTTAAAGGTTGAGTACATCTCTCACCTTTTGAGCTAAATTTTAAATCAAGATACAAGGCAACACCATATTGTGTTAAGCTACAAGATAGTTTCATTAATTTATAAAACATATGTTTCTTTCTTGCCAGAAAACAATCAAAGTTCTGAAAATCAAAATTAAGGTTTCGTTCGGGGCAATTTTTGGCTGCTATTTTATGGCCACTTTCAAGAGGTTTTTGTGCTAGAAAGCTATTGTAGAAAGCAGTGAGAAAACCGTCTCAAACAAATTCTAAATATACTATTGAATTAGTCCAACTACGAATTGGTTCTCAAATTAGATTTTGGTTTCATTGGTACATCTTTCTTATTACTTTCTAAAGTGATTTTCTAGTACAAAAAAATTTTATAATAAAAAGTTCTTTTAGAAATCAATAGAAAAGTTGTCCCAAATAAAATCTTAGTTCACTTAAAAATTAAATTTTGAAGCAACTATGATCAACCTATAATGTGATAGTAGAGCCACTCAATTCTTAATGTTGGTGGAGTAGAACCATTTTCACTAGAAATTAAAGTAAAACTATGATGATGGAATATAATAATTTTGATTATATATATATATTCTATAATAAACTCCTTCAACACGCAATTATAGCGAAGGAGATCTCGAGCAGCATCAGGAAAGAATCTTTTACTATTAAATGCCCTAAACTTCTTAGGAGTAATGGTTACCAAAAAAGCCTAAAGAACTACTTTGTAGAGCTGAAAACTCCATTAATGAGAGCTTGCAAAGTTCAAGAAGCCCCCTCTTAATAAAACTTGGAGCCAACCATTCTTTTTTGATAGGTACCAAATTAAGTAGAAGAAACACACGGCTCCATTGGCCTTCAAGGCATATAATGAAATGGGCACAAAAGAGGACCATTCTTTGCTGCCTTCTTTCCTCCACTGTCCCACCAAAATCCAACCACCCTCATCAACTCAATGGCAAACAACTACAAGCCTCAGCACAAAAGTTTCTTCAACCCCAATCCAATTCAAGATGATCGAAAGGGAAATCTGAAACAAATAGTACAGTTGTAAAACAAGAGATGGAGAGAGGAGGAAAGATTAGAATCACAAATTTGTTCCACTTAATTTGGATTTGATTAACTCCTAAGGGAGGTGCATATTGGGTTATACAAATTTTTAATCTAATTAAAAATGAAACATTTGCTCTAAATAAAAAGTGAGATTGGGAGTTCAGATTAGTGATGAAACACATAATTAACATGGAGATAATTATTGTAATAATTTGATTGACTTAGGCTGCGTTTGGGACGGCTTTCTTATTGCTTCTTAAAGCAGCTTTCAAGTATGAAAATTAAAAAATTTTAACTTGAAAGAGGCTTTAAGAAGCAGTAAGAAAGCCGTCCCAAACGAAGTATTAGTGGTCTGTTTGGGATGGTGATCGAAAGCTTTTGATAAACTTGATTGTGAATTTATTGCAAGGAAACTGACTCATCTATTATGGTTGCAAAATATATGTTTTCACTACAATGAATTTCTGAAAAGTAGTGATAAAATTGGAATCAAATAAACTTATAATTGTTATTTGAAAAACAAAGCAATTAAAACGCTGTCCCAAACAAACCATTAGTATACTATCTTAGCCCTTTTATAAGAATTTTATCCGCAATTTTTTTTTAATAAAAAATGGTTATAAAATTATCGGGAGGAGAAGTTTTTTTTTTTAAATAAATATTTTATGAAAATGTCGAACACTGATCACTCTTGCATATCTATTTCTAAAAAGTAGTTTCTCTCTATAAAAATTTCTTAAAATGAGCAAAAAAATTATAACCAAACTAATATGTGATAATAGTCTCAAAAAATAAAATAATTAAAAAACTATCCCAAATAGATCCTAAATCTTCATCATCAATTATGAAGACTTCATAAATATTTCTCTTTTGATTTAGAGAGTAGACCTCAATCTATTTTTATTGTCCAAAATCAGCTATTAAGTGACGAATGAAATTAAAGGAAATTGTTGCATAAATTAGTTCAAATATAATATATCAAAAGAAAACTACATATTATGTGTCGAAATATTTATGATGAATGAAAAGAGTTTATTGTCTTAGTTTTAAATGAAAAATTCCGATTACTAAAATATTTAAGCTAATTTACAATTGATTATTTCCTTCATAAATTTAATACTGATTTCTGACAAATTGTTTCACAAATTCGTCTCAAATATATTGCTAATTTGTACATCGATCCAGTGTAAATCGGTTGCAAAAACATTCACAGATCAAATAATATAAACTATAGGTTAGGAGTCAATACAAAGTAAATGTTATAGTGCTCTCAACACATATAGTGCAAAAAAAAAAAAAAAAAAAAACCCCAAAGGGGCTACGAGTTAATCCAAAAAAGAAGATTACAAAAATCCTTAATGAGCACCCAAAAAAGCCAAAAAAGAACCTAAGAACCAGAGTTCCCAAAATCTAAAACAACAGGAAAAATAAAGTAAAAAAGAAGGGCTACAAGGTGACAGTATCCAAAAAGGAGGAAGAGAATGATAACACTTTCAGACCAGTCTTCTTAACACATAAGCTTACATACACTAGATTATACTCTAGAGAAAAATAAATGAGATAATAGCAGTCCCAACAGTCAGTGAAAATCTTTAGCGAGTAAACAACACCTTGGGTAATCATCCGAATCGAGCTGACCTGAAAAAGGTGAAGAGAGAAAGAACAGAGGCTAGCAATAGTAGGGATGTTAGCAACATCAATAAATTCATATGGTAAATAATAACAGCAGGAGCATAACAAATAAAACAACAACCTAATACTGCAAGTCCTAATGATCAGATTATTAGAGCTCAGGACATTCTCTGAAAAAACAGCTTCATCATCCCAATCCAAAAGCCGCTCAATCCTACACAAGGGATTCCGCCCAGAAATACGATGTACACGCCTCCAGAATAACCAGGAATAATCATAAAAGGAAATAGTCATGGTCACATAATAACAAAAGCCCAACCAAACACAATTATTCCCCCAACCCAAACATCAATCCAGAAGATAAACAAAATTACCATAACAAATCCAATCACCCAGCCAATACTTATAATAATACACCTCCAGCATCCAACATAACACCAACTAAAAACTAAACAACTCACCCAGCAGCCAACCAGATAGGCATCCGACAGACCCCCAGCCCCATAGCTAATCCCAGTTAGGAGAGCAACTAGAGGACTGGTTCAGCGTACACGGCAGCAGCATCACAGCTCCAGTCCAAAAACCCAGAACTCCAGGCAAACAATGAAAAGCCCACAAAATATTAGCGGAACAAATCAAAGCACTTGAAATAACAGAGTAAGACAGACAGAAAGAGCAGCCAAACACAATCGGGATAATAAAAAACAAAAGCCTGAGAGGAACCCAGAGAAAAATTAAGCAAGAACACAGACAAGAAAACCAATGCTTAGCCAAAAAATGGCAGAAAACCACCACAGCAACAGCAAAATTAGATGTTGTAAGGAGTACCACACTTGTCAAGGTAAAGTAAACCTTTAAGATAATTGGGGATAGTGTTAGAAATGAAATCAGTAAAACAATTTAAATTACAACCCAAGTAGCCAGCCATGAAGCAGAGGAATTCCCCAACTTACCAACTTTAGTCAGATGAAAGTTAGAATGCAGTAAAAGCCTTTTAATTTCCCGAATAGTATGAAAAACATTATGAGAGCAACTACCATCCACCTTCTCATCCAACATGGAAATATTAATGTCAGAATTAACCTCAATATACAAATTCGATAAATTCAGAGAATTAACCTCAAATTTTCTAATTCTATAATTTATACTTTAGGCAAATTACTATAGGATCATGGTGAGCAGTAAAAGTGATGGAGCCGATCTTTTATTTTGTCAAACCAACCTCCTCCACAAGGTGATTTCGATGAGTAGCTTGTGAACGGTGCTTTCAAATATATGTGGTCCACTTATCGAACATCTATAATAACCACACAAATTTAGCTATCCTTTTAGGATGGCTTTTCACTCGAGTAGAGATATTATAAAGTAGTATTTGACTTCATTTGAGACAACTTTCTTGTTACCTTTAAAGCAATTTTCTAGTATAAAATTTATTTTTCATGCTTTGCTATAAGTGCTCTCATTCTTTATCCTAAGCAAATTATATGTAAGAATGAGAGCAACTTTCAAGCAAGATCATTTTGAAAAAAGTTTCAAGTGTTCATCAATAAGTTCTTCTTGATTATTGAGAAAAGTTCTCTCACTCAATTCTTAATATTTTGTATTTTAATTAATATTTTGTAATCAATGTTATAAGAGATTATGTAGTAGTATCTAGATTAGTTTGTGAATGAAATTTTGGTCAACACCAAAGATGAAAAGAGCTTTAAATGATTAGATCAGATGCATGAGTTGCCTAAAAAGTTAGGTTTTTGTTTTGCACATGCAAATTAAAGAGAGTTGTAAAGTTATCAAGATTTCTTCACCTACCTGTTGGATAATAGAGATTGGGTTTGTAATAGCAAGTCAGTCAATAGAATCCTAATTTCGGCGACGATTATTGATTATCGTGAATATAAGATATTTAGATGTTAGACTTGACCAAAAACACATCGTATTTGAATCCTTATAATTTACTTTGTATTCGTACTTATTTACTTAGTTTATAATCCGAATGTGAATGATTATATATTTAATATTGAATCTCATGATATTCAACATTTGTGAAGAGTAGGTTTATTTAATTGTGCTAAAAAAGTTATATCTCTCTCACTTGTAGCCTAAACTTTTATAGTTTATTCATGAGAAAAATATTTAAGATTCCCTAATACTATATTTAAGAAGCTTTTAAATATTTTAAGATGACACAATAACTATTCGAATATGATAATCATATTTGAAGAACTATAATCACATAAATCAATATTGTTTTAGACTTTTACTCCCTACAAAGAAGAAGAAGAAAGAGTAAATGTTAGAGAGAGAAAGAGAGAGAAAGTTTCACTTTGCAGAGGTGGGCCCGGAAAGCGGAGGTGGGTGATGGGCCCCCTTACAGCTACCATAAGTGGGCTAGGCAGCCAGAACTGGAACGGCCTTAAATGGCTTAGAAGAGAGAGGAAGGTATTGGTGTGAGAGCTGAGGATCTCCCCATCCCCTCCCCTTAAACGGAAACAAATGACTCCGATGGTGTCAGCTCTTACTGTAATCTTATCAACACTTTCTCTCTTCGCTGACGCCAACAACAACCACAACATAAACTCTTTCCTACTTTCTCTCTCTTCCCTGCTCATGCCATTAATGGTACGGTCGGCAAGGAAGAAGGTGTAGGCCCGTTTCCTTTGTGCTCAAGGTTGCCCACAAGGGAAAAAGTTAGAAAAAGAGAGCCCCATGCTTAGCTTTCTTGCACTCTTCCCACTCTCTCTCTCTCTACCTCTTCACCCACTTCTCATTTACTTTTAAGTGACTAATGTAGATTTAAGATTTGTTTGGGACGACTGAGCTTTCTAGCACAAAAATTTTAATTTTTATATTAAAAAATTACTTCAAAAAGTAATAAAAAAGTCGTCCAAAATGAAGTCTTAATTATGCTATGTTTGTTTTATTTATTTTTTTCTCTGTTCATAATAATATATGCTTGATAATAATTTCCAATTGCTTTACTTTTCGAACAAAACGACATATCATAGTTTTGAATTGTGTGTAAACTATGCAATGGGCCACTGGCTATGGGTATGCTGCATGTTCAGTACCTTCTCCAAGGTTTTGGCTTATGGTCTAAGCATTTGTAGCAACTTTTTATCTATATCAGAGTCGCATTGATAGCATAACTTTGTATGTCGAATTATCTTCACAACAATACAAGTAATGTAAATATTCCTCTTTTTTTTTCTCCTTGAGATATTGATATTATCTTTAAAAGGATCAAATATATTGTAATGTTGGGTTAATATCATATTTTTGCAAGACATGCAACATAAAAAAGATATTAAAAATTTGTTAATTCAAATGAATGTGAATTGTGTTAGTTTTGTTCGGAATATGATTGTATTATTGACTCATACTACAAATTTATCGATCAAGCTTGCCAAGGGTAGCGCTCCCCTTGCTTGGGGTTCGGGGGCCTTGCCCTAGTAAGTTTTTTTTTGTTGTACAAATGCCACAACATTGGATGCCAGAGCTATGTAGAGCTCCAAGTTTAGGCTGAAGATAGAGGTAGAGCGCCACGATGCTCCAGACAGCGGTGCTACGAGTCGGGATGAGTAGTTTTCTTTCTCATTTAATTTAAAGGGCTACATCTACTTTTGGTGTATCTAAAAAAAAAATTATGTGTTTCGAGTGTAGAATTGAGAGAGAAGTGGCGGGGGAGAAGGAGAGTGTGTGTGAGAAAGACTTGTATAAATTTTAATTGGTCTTCAGACAATATTTTGCATCCATCCTCTGCACAGAATAATTTTTCCAATTAAGATACCTGGTTTAAATTTTATAGTATGTGATATATATTTGACTTAGTCTACATGTATAAAAAAAAAAAACTCCCACTTTAATTAACTCTACTCTTTTTATTAGTGGATTCTTTATTGCACACAGTGAAGCCATCTATATAGGATTTTTAGCAGGTTGTACTGACATAGATTATTATATATAGTTTGCCATTCAAAATTTTTTTTTCTGTTTCAGTGATAGATACATTTTAAACATTTTTATTTCTATAAAACGTACAGCAATCTATTTACTGCAGGGAGGACATTGAGCTGTAATAATTGCGTGTAAGAGGGAGAGAAGAAGAAGAGAAGGCCGGAAAAGGAAAGTGGGGTTGCAGGAGAGCATAGGGTGCATGTGCTGGGAGATCTAAGAGCCGAGCTCTGAATCATCCATTAATAATGAAGAGCTAATGAAGGGACGGAGATCGAGAGTTGTTTGCTGGGTTTTAAGAAGAGAAGGGGAGAGCTTGGCTTTAGGGTTTCGGTGCGGCTGTTTTCCGCTTCAGTAAGCCTGCTTACCACGTTGTTTTACAAGGAAAGTTATGCAGGTGGTCAAAAAGAAGGCCGGCTTGATTCTTGCTTTCTTCTCTACTTCTGCGTTCTTTTGTTTCATGCGTTTGGGAAACTCTTTCTGCTTTATTAATTGTGTTTATCAATTTGCTCTACAGAGAATTTATTTTATATATATGGATATGAAGAGGGAGAGAGAGAGAGCGAATATATATATAGGAGTTTATTGGTGTGGAAGTACTATGAAAGTAAATGAGCTGCAACTTGGTTTTAGGAAATGCTAAGTTGATCTGTGGTAGCGGTTGCCTATTTTGGCTGTGCTGAGCTTTGATAAAGATGAACCTTCAGTTTAATGGCTCCCACATTATTTAATTTATTATGTACTTGTGTTTTTTTTTTTTTCTTTTTTTTTTGTGAGTTTTAGGTGTTGATTTGATGGTGAATTATTGCTTGAATAAAATATCTTTGTAAAGACTATTATTGCTATATTAAAAAAATGGGATATATGTATATATATATCATTTTATTTCATACTATTTATATATCTAATATCTAAAATTTTAATATTACATGTTTATCGGTCATAAAACAAATATGAGAGCATGGAATAAAATAATAAATTTTATACGGTGATATGAGTAATAAGAATAAAATATTAGAATAATATATTTGATATTAAAGTCTTATATGAATGGTAAGAATGTAATATTAAAATTTTGAGTGTTAGATATGTAAATAGTATAAAATAAAGTTGAATGTACGTATATATGAATTTTTTATAGATTTTTTAGAATAAATTAAAATAAATTTAAAGTATTAGATTTGTAAACAGACAAAATTTTTTTGTGGTAGGTAAATCCTTTAAATAAATATTTTAAAATTATTTGGAATTTAATTTTTAGGTGCTAGATTCAACTAAAATATGAGCAGTTTTTTTTTTTTTATTTGGAACTAAAAAGTTTTTTTTTTTTTTTGAAAAGAAAAATATTGGTGGCTTGGTGAACCAAATTAAATTATAATGTGACAAGATTTTTTATATCATTTTTATTTTGGACTATAGCATTTTTCCTGCCCAGAAATTTAATATCATTTCACACGCAAATAATCATGTATTTCTACTGTTGCATAATTTGTTTTCTTCCTCCATGTATAGCTCATCATCCACCATAGCCCAAAAAGTGAAAACTGAGGAAGATTATTAGCAACATAAAGCAGATTCATCCACTTCCATTCAAATAATGAAATAAATTATATCTACTGTCATTTTTATTAAATATATTTATATATATCTAATGTTGGGAAATTTTTTGATGATAATATAATAAACTTATTAATTTAAAATTTTAGAAGAGATAATATATAATATGTTCTAAATAGTCATGTCATCCTTACTAAAAACTGAGTTACTTTATAAGGAATAATATTAGATTCTCGATTCATTTCCTCCCGCGCCTAGGTTTTCTTTTCCTCGCTTCCCTTGCCTCCTTTCGCCTTTCTCCGAGGAGGACACCATCTAGTATATCCTCCTCGCTTCCCCCACCCTCCATCCCTTCCTCCTCTTCCACTCCTTCGGACTGAAAGCTTCTTTTAGCCTCCCCTCCCAAGTCTTCACTGAGTTATCCTCCTCACTTTCTCATGTTCCAACTGCAAATGCCACCGCCCACTTCACTAAAGCTCAGTTCGACACCGGTGCTCCAAAATGGTCCCTTTCCTTAACTGGATATTCCATTGACTGCATACCATTTTATGAATTTGTCCTCTTCACCACCAAACATATCTGGTCCCTTAAAGGATCTTTTTCCCTATTAACCCTAGAAGATGTCTTATTTCTCCTAAGGTTTACTGTGACTGAGGACTATGAAATGGCATGGTCAGGAAGATCATTGTTCTTCATCGGCAAGCATTTCATCATGTAGAAATGCACCCCAAAATTTGTTCCTAAATGCGAATAATTCCTGAACATTCCACTTTGGATCAAGATAAAAAACTTGCCCTTTCTTGCTGGATGCCCGAAAGAATTTCTATGGTTGTGTTAGAGTTCCTTTGACGGTTGATGCATTACAGCTACAAAAATCAGACTCACCTTTGCCAGTCTGTTTTCATGTGAGCAATTCTACCTCTCTCCTTGACAAAATATACATTTCTGTTGATGGAAAGATCACTACCCTAGCAGTTCTCTACGACTGGAAACCCACACCTTGCTCCCATTGTTGCTCTATCATACATCCTCCAACCATCCATCCTAAAACCCCACTCCTCAAGCTCAGTAACCCGCGCGTCCCCTTGGAAGAAGCACCAGTCGTAAACCTCACATCACTCCGCCTCCACAATTAACTATCACAAAACCACCATTACCCGCAGTTTCACATCCAAACCCTACTTCACAAAGCCCCCACTCCACGGCTCTTAATACCTCTACCCTCCAACCTATTATCCCAAACCTTAAATCCCTTTTAGATGTACCCCCCAACTCCTCTGACTTCCCCTTTGATACCACTACACTCTCTAATAACCCCCTTCAATCACTACAGGAAAATCACTGATTACCGGCGGAATTTTTCGGCGGCCACATTACCGGCGGCTTTCCAACGCATTTCTGACGGTTTTTTCCCAAGGAATTTTCCGGCAGAATTTCCGGCGGCTTTTTCACATTTCCGGCGGCTTTTAAAAAATTAATGAAAATGAATAAATTTTTTACTATTTAAATGATTTAACAAAAAATTATTAAAAGTTAGATTAATAATTTAATTTATTTTCATTTTAAAATTAATTAGTTAGTTAATTTTTATTTTATATTAAATATTATTTTTTATTTTAAATTAAATAGTTTCATTTTTAAAATAATTAAAATATTAATTTATTTCTGTTATGAAAATACTTTAAATAAAAAAATTGACAAAAATTTTGCATTTACATAACCGGCCATTCGGTCGGATCCCTGTAATTCCTCACGAACGACGCGCGTTCGAATCTCACCGGGAGCCGCGTTTCTACCAAAAGCAATTTCTTTGCTCTCTCTAATCAGCAAGAATGTCAAAGTTCTACCATAACCTACCTCTCAAACCCGTATGTAATGAAATACTGGAACCCTCATAAAACCAAACCCAAGCCTCACAAACCCAAGGCTTGTTTGCAAACAAACAAAGATTTGAATAAATCCCCATTTCACATCTAAAATCAGGCATTATTACACATGGTTTAATCAGAGAACTAATAACCTGATCCATATCAGGTTAGATAGGGTGCTTGTCAATGATGCTTGGCTAGCTTGTTATCCCAATTCCTTTTATAATTTTGGAAACCCTCAAATTTTTTATCATCCCCCATTAATGTGTTCTCTCCTATCGCCACTCACCAACAACACAAATTTAGGTGATTTTACTGTAATGTTAGGCCTCTAAAACAAGTGTTCCAAATTTGATCTAATCTTGATTTATATTCTAACATTTCTACTTTTATATCACTCTTTGAAAATCTAAATAAAATTTTTACCATTATTCAAATCGAGAGTATTCGTAGAAAACTTAAACTTTCTATGATGTAATTAACTACGAAGGCTTGTCTTGGTAGGAGATTTAAGGCCCCAGATAAAATAAATCCCAATCTATTTGGTCTCTAATAGAATGGGGAAAATTGTTTTTTTTTTTTTTTGGAAAAATTAAAATTAAAGATGATCGTTATCATCATATTCAAATTATTAATAATAAATGATATTCTCATTCTTTGGGAAGATATACTATTTATTATCATGACTTTGATTATAAAATTAATGATAATACATATAAATTCTCGTGGCTAAATAAAAAATGGAATAATATTTTGAACCTTCTGAGATTATCTCTCATTGCTAATAAGGTTTTCAGGTGTCATAAACAATAATTTTGATGTTTGATAATGGCACCAAAATCAATGTTAGATGTCAACACTAATACTTATGCTCTTCTTCTTAGCCTCATCCCACTAATGATCTCTTGAAAATAACTTTAACACCTAAGCACTCCTCATATTCCCATCTTGGAAGCCATCTTCTCTATTTGGCCCTTTTAAGACAACTCTACTGCTTAAGTGCTCCTTCTAATTTACAAAGACATGTTTAATATTATATTATAGTAATTTATATTTTTCTTCAACTATGCAACAGATGTCTGACATAATCATGAGAATCAATGAATTTGATCTAATAATAAAAAATTTAATCCTTCAAAACATACATATCTTGATATTCAACACCAAAAGATCGACTTACCGACTCCTATATTATTTTTCAAAATTGTCATAAGAATATTTTTACTCACTTTTTTATCCATCCTGTAAGTATCTTGGTTATCTTTTTTTTCTGTTTATAAGAAAATATTATAAAAAAAATTCCTTATATAATTTGCTATCTTTTGATAAAAAAAAGTATAATCACAAGACAACAATATGAACAGCATTATTGCTTTTAGCATAAATTCATATGAAAGCAAAATATTTCATTTAGCCATTATTTTTTGAAAAAGAAATATCGTCTAAATATCGTTCAGAAACTCAGTACTGAATTGAATTACAATGAACGTTCAGAAAAAAAATTTGAATGTTTATTATTATTTTTTCTTTTTAAGTGCGGCATCTCAGTTGATCATTGAAGTGCTTTAACTGCACAAGAACAGTAGCAGAGATTTTTTTTTTTTTTTTTTTTAACAGATATAATTAATAGGGTTGAATTTCCTGATAAGGCTAAAGATTCCAAAGAACCTAGGACCCGGACCACCCAGTAATCCAAACTCTACACAGCAGAAGCTTTCATTTCCAATAGAGACTCAATGTAGCTGACAGTCCCTCCCCACTCATCAATCCCTACTGCAGCAGCTTGCACGGCAATACTAACAATAATTCTAATTAAGCTTCTCATAAATCACAGAGGAAGCTCTCGCAAAGCCAGCTCCATAGCCGGCAAAGCTGCCTCCTTTCGTACCTTCAGTTCACTCATAGCCTCCTCTCCTCTGCTATCTTAGGCTCAATACCATTCACCGGACTTCCCATAGATTCAAAGCTTTTTCAGTTGTGGGTACCAGGTTATTTAATAGGTAAAAATAAATAAATAAAACTTGTCAGTTCCTTTTTACATCAGCATCGTTTCAGACATATTAAACCTCTTCAGTTAATCTATTTGCAAATTTAGATATTTGGATTCAGTAGATCTGAAGTCAAGTGGATACAGCAATTCTTCTACAGTGGCAAAGATTACGTACCTTAATTGTAGTAAAGGTGCCATTAGAAGGTTTGAAATTATGAGCTGCACAAACTATTGAATTTATTGGATTCCATCCCATCAAGTTAGAAATTAATCTGAATTTGAGATTATAAATATTTTCATTTTTTTAATATATATCTTATTATTATTATTATTCACCATATGTAGAGATAAATCTAAGATTTTATTTGGGACAACTTTTATCCTAAAAGGATTTTTTAGTATAAATTTTTTTAATTTAAGAAATTTTTATAGTAAATTTTTTTTAGAAATCAGCAATAAAACTGTCCTAAATGAAGCCTAAAAGCTACTTTAAGAAGCTTTCTAATTTTTTTATTAAAAATTACTTTAGAAAGAAAAAAAAAAGCCATTTGAGACAACTTTTAAATTACTTTTTAAAACACCAAAGAGAAGTTAATAAAATGAGCATTTTAACTATTTCATATGAACTTTTTTTTTAATTTCACCATCAAAATCATGTACGCCTTAAATCACAATTTTCAAAAATATTTATATTATATTTCACATTTATACTTTAGCTCATTTCTAATTTTATGTATGTTATATGTGTATGAGTGTACCTTAAATATCCCAAAAGAATTCACAATTATTGCTACAAATTTAAACTCATAAAATTATAATTTAAATGTCCACACAAAATGAGATTTTATAATATAATTTAAAAAAAAAAATTTCAAGTCAAAGATCAAAAGAGATAGAAATTGCAAATAATAATAATAATAATAATAATTTGATTATTATATTAGTATTAATGATGAGACTAATGAGATTTAATAAAATAGAAGAATAATTTAGATTACAAAACACATGCATGTTGCCAATTAGAGAGAGAAAAGAAGAGAGGAAAAAAGGTTGGTGTGTACTGTGCGTATTGGGGGTCTGCGGTGAGATGTCCCTCTCGCCATAATAGTCCTCTTTTTCGGTCTGACTGCATGAGCCCGCAGTGAACTGATTCGAAGGACCGACGATAGCGACACGTCATCCCATCCACCACTCCACGTCCCAACTTTCATCGGCCCACCTGTAATCCACCTTATTTAGCTTTTCCCCCCTCACACAATTTCTTATTGTTAGAATCAACCCTTGTTGCCTTTATTAGACTTAAGCATCCGCACCCCACACCAATTATTTCAACAGCCCAAAATTGGAAATCCCATTCTGATTCTCCCTTTCACAGGTTGCGACTTTAATGTTCCAGCACAAATCATTGAATTCATTCACCGCCCCCTCTCTCTCTTTCTCTCTCTATCTCCATTAGAACAGAATGTTTGCTTGCAACAAAAAATGCGAATGAAAAGGAAACAGGTAAAAAAAAGGCAGAGAGGATAGAGGCGCTGTCATTTCTCCTTTGTCAAGTATCTCAACAAACAAAATCTTATATTTTTCAACCCTGTGTTTTTTGGGTGGGGAGGAGTTGAGTCGGGTCATGGTCGGCCCAATGACTGCAACCCGTTTTTGTGCAGCCAATTGTGAGAGCTCTTCACTGCCTGCGGTGGGAATCCTGATGATGCTGCAGCTACTACGGCGGTGGGGGAGGAGAATTGAGGGCCGACGACGGCGGGCAGCGGAGCCCAGTTACTTCCACTGCTTCCACCGTCGATCGCCAGTGAAAGATGAACGTCTCCACTGCTCCTCGCTGCGGCCAAGTTGCCGCCAGGATGATACTGCAATATGCCAGAGAATGATGAAGTTTATCTTCTGATTTTACAAAATCTGCTCATATTTTTATCGTGTTGTTCAAAAAGGTCTGTTTTTTAGAAACGTACTTGGTGAAAACTGGAAGGATGAGAGAGCTGGTGACGGATGAACTGGAACCCAACTGACTGCGGTGGGGGAAGCGCGAACTGTGGCGCCTGGATGTAGGAAGAATGCTTCAGCATTTCCATATGATGGCCGAGGTGGAAATTGACTCTGCTTTCATTCTCAGGCAGCTTGAGCTATTAAAGTTTTAGATGTGAATCATGTTAAGAAATGAATAACAACAATTATAAGATCAGTTTCAGGCCGTGAGAAGTTTTTGTAATGGTGCACCTTTGTGTTTGTGTTGATGACATCACGGCAAGTAGTCAGAAACCGTTGATCTGCGCCACCGCTGCTGCTTGCACAGCCGGAGCTCTCCTCATCCATTGGATTGGCTGTGCTTATCTTAGGGGCTGAGCTCCCCAGACTCAGATCAAGATTGTGCTCAGCTTGAACAGCTGAAGAGTTGCAAGGCAGGTGAATCATTCATTACAGGGAGAGCAGAAGCAGAACAACTTAAAAAAATTGTTAATTGCTTACTCGAACAACCTAGCTCATCAGCGTATATGCTGGCATCAAAGTTTGTCACTGCGTCTTTCCCATTAAATTTAATCGCTGCCTTGTCATAAGCTCTGCGAGTATTAGATAAATTGCCATGTTTAAAGGTTCAAAGCTTGCAGCTTTAGGAGGAAGAGAAGAGCTTTTTTTGGTTATATATACAATGTTGCGTCATTTGCTTACCTTGCTGCCTCCACTTCGGTGTCGAAAAGGCCTAAATACACATACCTGCAATGTGAAGTAATGTGGAAAAAGAGATTATTAGAACGCAGATTAAGCGAAGATCGTGTAATGAAGAGAAGGGGGATCAATGATGCTTACTTCTTCCCAAGGAACTGGCCCATTCTAGCTTCCCATCGGCCGCATTTGTGGAGGGTGACTCCCCTGTACTTGGAGCTTCCTCTTGGGAACCCAGTGCTCTGTCTCCTGAGCACATGAACAAATTCTTCCTTTGTTAAATTGCCCATCTGCTTCAAATCATCTTCATAGTCATCCAAATGGAAGTTTATGTCGGCGTCGACACCACGAAACTTGATCGCCGCTCGATCATACGCCCTGAAACAAGCCTCCAAAGATGTTAGCAATTTGAAGAAATTTCTTTGACAGAAGAGAGATTTAGGAGAGGAAAGTCACCGGGCAGCGGCATGGGCAGTGTCAAATCCACCTGAACAAATCAAGCAGAAAAGTAGAAGAACAATAAAATCAGAAAAACGGTATAACAAAGAATTCAATTGAAGAAACACAAAATAACAAAGTAATATAGTTATAAAATGCAAAGCATACCCAAATACACTTGCTTTCCGCAATCCCTGCACAGTTAAATGAACAAAAATGAATGATAGGATGTTTAGAATCAGAACCAAGTTCCGAAAAATTTAAAGAAAAGGGAAAACTTTCTTTTTCTAGCTTTCGGGTGACTGAAGCGAGGGAACAAACCATATATGGGATTCCCACCGGCCTGTTCGCCGGTAAAACGTCACTCCCCTGTACTGAGAGCTCCTTGACCTCGGTCCTCGCCTGCTCTTCTTCATCGGTTGCCCTGAAGGCGCTGCCGCAGCTGCCGATTCCGGTGGTCGAAACTGAACCGCCGCCCAGTGCGCCCTCGGTGGCGGATCACCGCAGTTCTGCGCCACTGCTTCGCCAGAGGGGAAGAACTGGCGCGTCACAAACGGCTGCTGGCCGCCCGTGACGCTGATCCCGAAGATTTTTCCAACTTCTCTGTCGCCAGAGTTGTCCTCCCCTTCGTCGGAGGCCTCTACGACAACCGCCGACGAGCTTGAATTTTCCGTCGACACAGCAGACTCCGGCTCTTTTCCCTTCCTCTGCGATGAACTCTCGCCTTCGTCCCCCTCCGAGCCCACCATATTATCCGGCGAGCCGTTGAGATCCCACATCTCTCTCAGCCTCACCCCAACTTCTACGCTCTGGTTCAGCTTCGGTGTTCAGCTCCCGCCATTCAAAACCCTCTCCTTTTCCCCATCTCCGTCTCAAAAATCCCTCCTTTCTTTCCTCCCCCCCTCCCCTTCTCGCTGCCAAAACTAAATCCTAAGACGAGAGCCAGGGCGAAGAGAAGCAAAAAGGCTGGAGATGAAGAGGTAATATGTCACAAAGTGGCCACTTTTGCCAAACTTGGTGCAGCCCAACGATTGGGGTGTTCGAGAGCATTTATATAAATGGAAAACGGCATCCAGTCTCAAGCGATACTCTTCCCATTAATGACAGTTTTTATGAAGGTGGATAACCTTAATCACTCTTCCCTTTTCTTCGAATTCTCCCTTCATTAAGGTTGCAGATTAAAGGGCCCAAAATGCTTTTAAGTTTTTGAGGAGGAGAGAAAAAGAGCAGGCAAAAGGAAAACGGATTTCTTGCTTTGGAATCATGGTTATTATTACCCTCGGCCTTCCCACGTTAACCAAATCGAAAAGAATCGGCATGTGTCGTCTCAACAGCAACGCGAAGAACCACGGGTGAGGAAAGCGACGAGTTATCACACAGTGGAGATCTTAATCATGTGATTAGTCACTAATTATGTGCTTAGCGAAGATGCTCCAGTTAACTTGGAAAGCACCCACGTGAGCTGCGCTTCTGGTTGTCATCTTCCCGCTGGGGGGCCTAATGCCCAAAATGGCTTACCTCGGAGTCGCGAGGCGGGTTGATTGCACGCTGCGCGTTTGGGAGCGCGGATATGATCGCGATTTGGTAAGCTTAATACTTTACAATTTATAAAAAATATATATCAACATATTAATATATTATATGTATTAATAAATGCATTTTTATTTACTTGTCTAGCACTTGAAAGCACATGTTTTTATCATATGGGTTGAAATTTAGAGGATTTAATTCATATCATATTTTTTTTTATATTTATATATCCAACATTTAAATATTTATATTTACTTAATGTTCAAAATTTTAAATCAAATAAAAAAGCTCCATAAATGAATTTATTTAAAGTGAAACATATCTTTTCATTTACATACATTGATATGATTTAGACATTAAAATATTATATAAATAGATATAAAAATTTAAACATTAGATATATAAATACATAAGTCCTAAAAAATTTATTAATACATAACAATCTCACATTTCTTTAACTCTATTTTTTTTTTTTATGTCTACCTTCTTTTGTTACATAGAGGAGAATAAAAAAATAGTTTTATTTCATTTAGGAGGTGAATAAAGAAGAAATAAGATCTGACTTTGGGGTTAATGAGACCTTAAAGAGAAATGAAATATATGGATGAAAAGTTGTTGCCATGTTGAGGCGGAGAGCGACGGTTGAAAAGATTGCATCACAAGCTATTGGTTGTTAGGACTATTAAGTTCAAATTTGTTAGTGGGTAACACTTGAATAATATTGATCATAAGACATAATAAAAAGGTGAATAGAATAAAGAAACAATGTGAGAATTTATAGAGAAACTCTATAATTTTTATTTTTTGAAAACAAATAACTCATGACAACAAATTATGTCTTTAGCTTGCCCTTTGAATCCCTATTTATAGGTGAGGGTAGAGGAGTATTTATGGAGAAAATATTATATTTACAGAAAAAATAAGTAAACTACATGATATAATCTTTTTATGTAATAGAATATTTATGGTGGTAGAATAAGAAGTTATTTTAATTTTTAGTTTTGTATGAAGATTTACTACACATAAATAAATGAAGAGTTTCACATAAGATGCTAGAGTTTCTACATTAAAAAAAAATCATAGGATCTGACATTATTGAATTTATTGAAGTTTTTAGTCTCTGTGATAAAGCTTTGATCTTCTTTTAAAAAGAAGTTTACTATTTTTGTTTGATCCGATTGAATTTGATTTGAGAGAATTTTTCAACTTATTATGTGGTTATGCATTTCCTCTCCAAAATAGTTGATTGTCCTTAAAATTTATTAGTCAAACTAGAGATATGATTGATGCAATAACATGCCTTTGATGTGGAAATATAGAAATGATGATGAAGTACACCTAAAAAAATTGAAATTTATTAAGTGTTTGATTATTCTAATTTGTTTGACAATCTTGCTAGTTTTCATACTTATTCTCAGAATTTTGGCATGCTCTCCTGTTTTTGGAAGATTGTGAGTTTTTGTATGTTTCTATATAAATCTTTCACCATTAAATTTTGTTATTTTTATTTTTGAAAGAATTATCAGTTTTAGATTCCCCACTACTAAAATTTTAATATTTATATCCTTAAATTTTAACGATGTTATATAAATTATATATGTTTTTTGGGATCCATTCATATAAAAATATTATCAGTTGATAGGATAGATAATTCGTGATCAATAACTTCATGTAATCCATCATTTGATTAATTGTAGACTTTAGACATTTATTGCATTATACTCGCTAGTCAAAATGAATTGATTTTTTTATTTAAATACTGATATTTATGTGTACATTTTAAACACAAAAAATTAAAACTCTACACAAAGTATTTATTTCTAGAAAAATCATAGAGTGCTTGTTGGTCAGTAATTATTATACGCTATTATTGTTGTAGAAAAATGTGTTGAAGTGCCAAGCATAGAAATTTTTAATATACTTGATGTAGTTGGAGAAAGAATTAATTTAAAAACCTTTATCATTTTGTAATATTTTTATATGCCTCTAATATTTTTCTATATTCTTTCAATATTTGCGCAAATCTTATGTAGATATGTATATATTTCAGGTACTGTAAAAGATAGAATTTGATTCTCATGATTATGCTGATGTGGGGTATCAATATTGCTGATGACATATATTGACATTTATGTTAATTTCTCCAGTAATTCCCTTCAAGGTTGGTTCTTATTCAACCTTATAGTCATGGTGGGGATCCTCATATTCATCAACATTGTCATCAAAATCCTCTTGCTTTTCACTTTCCCCTTTCAAGAACATCATTTCTTCTTCCCTCTTATCCATTGCCGAAGGTGGTGTTCTTCTATATGAGTCCTCCCAAAGCAACTTAGTCAAGCTCTTAGTAATGAGGTTTTTTTTTTCATTGATCTATTCTAACATCAATGTTATGACTAAAGTTATATAGAATTTCTAGATTCAAAACATTATGTTAATCCTATCAACCTTTTTTGGAAGGTTTAAATGTAGAATGCTTCATGGAAGTCCCAAGAGACAATTCTAACTTGTTATATTTTTGCCATAACATAATAGAAAATTTCTTTATTTTTGTCAAACTATTATAAATTTTCAGTAAAAGCAAATTCATTAAAACCAAGTTTTCATTTCAAAATTAAATTTTACTAATTTATATCATTTTGAAATGGTAAAAACTTTAATCTTGATTTTGGGAAAAAAATCTCTTTAAGTGGTTGGAAATCACCTTATCTTAGATCAATTTTGCTTGGGAGTCATATTTTAATAATTTAGATTATGTTACTCAAGATAATCTTTAATGTAGCTTCAAAACTACTAAATTTGTTGGTCAATCAAGAAATAACAAATACCCTCAATATTCCTTGAACTTCTAATCATTAATATATTATTTCTTAGCCCCCGTCAAAGATATATCCTTAACATTAATGTGTGAATTGGTTTGTTCAAGCACATGCATAAGGTTTTTGGCTACATTAAACAAAGAGCATATTACATAGGTACTTCTTAGAGATCCCTGTGTTGACCTAGGTGACAACAATCTCAAGATCTTAGAAGAGTAACATCTTTAATTAAACTTGGGTCAAGAAACAAAATGTGACTTATTAGGCTTTTACTTGAGTTTAAAAGAGCCTAAGAACTTTGAGTAGCTTTTAAACATTGGCAAATTGAGTGATGGGCTATTACTTAAAATTTGAGAAGCTAAAGATGATCCTTAGAGGAAGATGTGAGAATCACCAAAGTGGAGCCTCATAAGATGGTGAAGAAAGATGTCACTTTACTGCATCATTAATTAGGATGAGAGGAGGGAGATTTTGAACTCAAAGTGGGATATATGGTTGGTAGCGTCAAATTTACCCTTCTAAGAGTCAATAGAAAGCAAGAATGATGAACCTACATGACTTCCACTGAGAAGAAATTGGTATGTTTAGCCTAATGCTTCTTTTATTAGTGAAGAAGGGACATCTTTGTAATACTCTCCTGAAGAAGTTCTTCATCAAAATAAGCATGTGTATTAATTTAATACTATAATGATGACAACATATTATAGAAGAAATTACGCTACGCTTTCAATGAGATTATGCTCAATGGTTGCTTGCAAGAATGATTCAATGATTATATGGATCATCTTGGCTAAATGATCCTCCATATGGTTGAGTTTTTCATAAGTGACTTAATCTTTGTGATATTTATACTACAATGATCATTCCTTAGGGCATTCTATGGTCTGGTTCACTTTCTTAAGAATAGATTCATGCTTGCCATAAATTTCAATGTATTTGATCTAATGTTGTATGTCGGATGATGTTAAGATACCCTATTATATTTTAGATCTGAGCTTAAGGAATGGAGAGATGATAGATTATGTTTAGAGATTCTCTTAATTGATTTTGGAGTATACCCAATTGATCCAAACAAAGAGTGAGTCAGACTGAACCAAGAGAGAATTAAGAGTAAGAAACTTTGATTTCAATTGGACTTACAAAGCTTTTATCAAATGTACATAATTAGTTCATGCTTATATTTATAGTAAGTGCTTTGGAAGATGAATTATGAATACTAGATAGATCGAATCTCTTGGGTGAGCACTTAGTTTGTTTATAAATAGTGATTTATTAATCATAAACAGGCTCTCATGATGACTTAATTAATAATATTTAAATGAATATAGTTTATCTCGTGCCCTACTTATTATTCATAAAAGTATTTGAGATGGATTTTTTTCCTTAAAGTAAAAAGGTTATATCACAAGTTAATTAAATATTATTATGTTAATAAAAACTTAAAGCCATGGTTTGAAATTAGGTTGAGAGATTAAGACCTTCATGTGCTCTCAATTCTCAAAATTCTAAATATAAATCTAATATAAGTATTTGATCCCTTTCTAACAAAACTAGCATAAAATATTAACAAAGAACCAAAAAATAATCAGCAATAAGATTTGACTCTTACCTATTTCTCATTCTCTTGGATTCCATATGAAACTTAACAAATTATTTTAATTTTTTTTGGCTTAAAAGGGTTCGAATGTGAATATATTATTGGCTGGCATTTTAGGCAGAAGTAATACGTGGGAGGAACGGCATCTTGTTTTCTATAAATTCTTCAATATTTTAATTGCTATATTTAGCAAGAACAAGTGAGCAACTACTCAGCTGTCTTTGCCAAAATTTAATGAATATTTTAAAAAACATGGAGAGAGAAGACCCCACGCCAACTGTCCTTA